TATCTACGACGGTTAAAGCCCATTTTGGTGTGTCTTTGCATGCATCATGACGCCTTCGCTTCCCATTTCAATACCGGCGGCCGTGTGTTTTGTTCTGTTGCGCACGGGTTGTGTTGTGTTCAACCTCCAACCTTCTCTCTGAGTGTTGGTTCACTCCAAATATTGCCTCGGGAACACAATGGCTCCCAGCAAGCTTTGAAGTTTGTCCGGTTCCCAGGCGCTTGATTGAAAGGCGCCCAGTCACCGAATGTGTCCCATTACTTTGACCCTTCCACCACGAGCCACAAAGCAAATAGCTCGTGTACCAAGAAAAAAAAAGAAGAGCGTCTCATCTCCAAGCTGCTCTGCCCCTAAACACCCCGTCACATGATGCTGGCTCCGTCGGTATGCTGTGTGAAAAAGAAAAAAAAGAAAAACGATCCGTCTCAGCTGCCCCCGATCACTTGTGTCGCAGAGAAAAGCTGATTGCCAGGTGTGTTTGTTTCACGTCGCAACTCCGTCGGATTCTTTCTTTCAACTCGATCGTCTCTTGCGACCCAATTACAAGCCGTTTTTGCTTCCTTGATATGTGTCTTCCTCTCCTCTGCTCTTTCTCCCAAAAGGCATCGTCGTTACTCATTTGTAAAGGACGCCTCGGTGGTATTTTCCTCCCCAAGTCATATCATGAAAGATCGCTCGAAACTGGGCCCTTTTTCTTCGTGTTCAACGTCGTCTTCATACGCAAACTCTCAAGCGTCCACGTGCCCTAATCATGCAGAGTAGTACTGGCGAAGTTTACCCTGATCCTCGGGCCGCATTTGGTTCACAAAGTCGTTGAACTGAGGAATCATTTCCCGGTACATGTTTATAACCTAGGCTATGTAAGTAGATATCGCTGCGCGTGGGATGGATGGTGATGCTGACCTTCTGGAAGTGCTCGTGCAGTTCGGCCTTGATTGGGCTCCTCATATTAATCTCCTTGTACCTTGCAATGGCAACGAAGAGCTGGGGAAGCGCCTTCTCCATAGCTTGGGGTTCTGTCCAACGACCAGGGTAAAGCCTTTGAAGGCAGTGGCCTTCTCTTCCAGGAACTCGACGTGCTCCATAGCTGAGAGGAAGTCCTCGGCAAAGGTCGGCAGTAGAGGGGCGAGGGCTTCAGAGTTGTGAAGACCAAGGCGGCCGAGAGCAATAGCTGCGTTCTCATTGACTGCGTTTTGTACACCAGGGTTCGAAATGATCTCGACCAAGCGCTGCAGAAGTTCCGGGACGAAAGGAGAGATTGCCTTGCTGTTGACCATGACGATCTCGCCAGCGGACCAGCATGCATTGTTGACAACGCTAAAGCCGCTGTCAATCTCCTCGTCGAGAATGTTGTCGAGGTCCAGCTGCTTCAGCAAGATGGGGAAAATAGAGTTCAGATGCTTCTCAAGCTGAGGGAAAACGTATTTCGCGCAGTCTCCCAGCAGGGCGTAAGCTGATTGCCGGACATCGTCCTGAGGATCCTCGAGACAGAAGCCGAGAAGCTCGAAATACGTTCCCTCTGAGCCTCTGACCAGCTCCTGCTTCTTGTCCTCATCAAGAGACTGGATGATAGCACTCAATAGGTCGAGACTCGTGACGAGAAAGTCCTTGTCTGGGGAGTCGAGCGTTGGGTTGTTGGTAGCCTGCAAACTTTGCTCGAGGTTTGTGTGGATAATGTTGACGCATCTTACGAAGATGGGCTGCGCATAAGGGGTGAAGGCCGAGCCCAGCGCCATGGCGACGTAAGAGAGGCACTCTAGCAGAGGGAAGAGCTCACGCGAGTCGTCGCTGACCTTTTGGTAGCGTTCAATCAAGGCAGGCATCAGGAGGCCCATAGCGTCCGGCTGAGCAATAACGGGACCAATATTCTCCGCCAAGGTTTGGACGCAGTCGTACAAGATATACATGTTTCTGTCCTTGTACCGGGCAAAACACTGGACGAACTGCTGCAGAATAGGGATGCAGTAGGGCTCGAGAACCTTGCCGGACTTCTCTTCGAGGTTGGCGAAAGCGGACGCCGCAGCTTCCTGGACCTTCTTGTTCTTGTCGAGCATCTTGCGGAGGATGCCTTCCATCATGGGCTCGAAGTAAGTGACCTTTTGGTTCTGATCGAGGTTCGCAGCCCACTGTGAGTAGCGGCCGAGCGTCCAGCAGGTAATTTGCCTGACGATGGGCTCGTTGTCTCCGAGGAGTGAGAGGAGGTAGGGTACAAGCTCCGGCAGGTGGGGGGTAACGGCATTGATGGTTCCCTCGGCGACTGCGCCGAGGGCCAGGACAGCGGCCTCTCTGTACTGCCATTCCTCATGCTTGAGGTTGCTCGTCAGGTAGGGCAGGATCGCAGTGAAGACAGGGTCGGAAAAGTCACGCGCAAAGACGTCGAGGGCAGCGGCGGAGCACTTGCGGATAGTCCAACGTTCGTCGGGTTCTCGTCGCCATCGTCAAGGTCGTCGATCTCGCCCTCCTCCAGATCGTCATCCATGCTAGCCAGCTTTTCATAGGCATTTCCGTTCTGGGCAGTATCGGCTGAGGCCTCGCCACCCTTACCCCTGGCCGCCGACTTCTTGGCGAATTGCGGCTTGATGTCCTCCTCGCGGTCTTCTTCTTCCTCGTCGTCTGATGCACCACCGAGAAGGGCAATGTCCTCCCCACTGTAGACCATGCACTCCAGCAATACGGGGATGATCTTGTCGAGGTATGGCGTCAGGGAGCGCCACAGGTCCTCATGCTCGCCCACGGCCAGCCAAAACTCGGCAGCCTCGCATGCTAGATCTTCGTCATCACTCTTCTGCTGGGTGATGATGTAGTCGACGAGGCCAGCAATGTGGGGCTGCAGCTTGTCTGGGCGGGTCTCGACTAGCTGGACGAAGGCGTGGCACACCTGGCGGCGCACATCGGGGTGCTGGTCGCCAGCCAAGGTAAAGAGGTGGTTCAGCAGGCTGTCAATGTTGTTGAGCATCGCCTGAGACTTGCGCGGAGTGAAGACGTTGATGGCAGTCAGGGCCTTTGCGCGGACCTTGGGCAGCTCGCTCTTAGTGGCCTCGATAAACTTGGGGAGCAAAAAAGTTCAGGGGGCGTTGGCCGTTGTGCTCACGCTCCAGAACCTTGACGTTGTCCTCGCAAATCTTGGCCATGGCGGACATTGCGCCCTCCTGGCCCTCGTTGGAAACCTGGCCGTTCTCGTTGGAAATGAGACTGAGCAGCTGGGGGAGCAACTCAGGCCAGCTCCAAGATACCGCCTCTCCTGATGATCTCGGTCGCGATGTTGCCGGCTGTAATTACGGACCTGGGAGTTCTTGTCCTGGATACCGAGGGGAATGGCCATCTTGATGAGGGCCAAGCTGCTCTCGGGAATCTGCTTGTAGTTGGTGCGCACATTATTCTTCAGCATGATGGCAGCAGCAGAGCGCACCGAGGTGGAAGTCTTGGGCAGAGCATTGTACACCCTGGGGCGGATCGGCGCTGGAGAAAAGGTATGCGAGATAGTTGTTGAAGTCGGGAGAGGCCTTGGCCTGCGTGAGCATCTGCGCATCAATGGCAGTTAGTAAGTGTCGCAAGGGGCAAGCGGGACGAATGGTGGGCAACTCACGATCTCTGCCTGCTTCTGCGCATTCTTGTCGAATCCGCTGAGCGAGTCCTTGAGGCAAGCAGCCAGCTGGCTCAAGGACTCTGGGGCCGGCTGCCAGGCCATGACTGGCGCCTATCTGGGGGAAATTTGGAAAAAGAAGAGGTTTGAACAAAAAAAATAGAGGTTGGCGACTTGTCAGGTGGTCGAGAATTCGGGGGAGGATTCGAGCGACGGAGCGATGATGTGAGGTCGGTCGGTCGGGGTGGTTTGTCGAGCACGGCGGGAGGGTAAGGTAGAGAGGGGCAGTCGTTGAAGTTGTTCGGCCAGGGCCACGGTCGGTAGTAAGGGCAGTGGGCGTTGACATTGGCGACTGGCAACACACTGACTGATGAAATGGTGGGGTCGGCTGTCAGCTTTTTTTTCGCGATAACTATGGTGCGGCGGAGAGGGGTAATAGGCAAGGTACCTCTGGACGAGACCGCCTCCTAACGGTACCTGGACGTGGTATTTTAAGCGGGCAGAGAAGAGCAGTTGCGACTTGAGAGAAGGTACCTCGCGCAGAGGTGGGATCAGTTGAAGGTCCCCGGTCCAAAGTCCAGAGTCGCAGCGCTAGTGGTCCGTCGTAGCGCATCTGGGCCCATCCAGTACGGTACTCAGTAAGGTCAGGTAGACCGTAGCGAGGGCACGCCGCACTGCACCTTTCACTTCACGGGCAGCTCAGTGGTATGTTACCTTGATACAGAGGCAGGTAAATGTACCTAGGCGTCTTGACCCCCAGATGGCTGCTTTCTGTGCGTGTGTGTGTGTGAGAGAGAGGAGAGAGAGAGAGATGGACAGTTTGAGGCGTCTGTTCTCCGTTTGAATGACCTGAGCAGGTGAGGCAGGCAAGGAAGGAGGTGGTGAAGAGGGGGAAGAGGCAGAGGCACCTCTGATGCACATGTGCGAGTGAGAGGCGCGGGAAGTACTAATTTCAGCCAGTCCGTACCCTCTCCTCTGAGGTATCTGAGGTCTTCCCATCCCAACAGTTGTGGCGATGAAAATACCAAAGTTTAATGTGTTGTGCTGTCATTTGCGTATCAGTGTCGTGTAAAAGAACACATGCGTATCGACTGTCTGTCCTCTCCTTGCTAATCATAAGCGTTTCCTCGTTGTCCCCAGCATCTAAACACCTATGGGGGTGCATATACCTTATTCACCATTTGATGCTGAGGAAAACAGACTGTGAAATTGAAGTTCACAACTTGTCAAGTGGGCATATGAATGGGGTTGGGGTTTTGGAGAGGCAGGGGCGATTCTAAGGACGGAATCAGGAGAAATCCGATGGAATGGATGGAAGAAGTCGAAACTGGCAGACAGTTAGAAACCGGGAACAATACGGTGACGGTGACGGACGTGAGATCAAGACGGTTGCAAACGCAGAGGGAAGGTGTAAAAAGGTGGTCTGCTGGTCGGCCCTTCGCCAATATTGTCGGTCCTCACAGTCCGTCCAGTCCAGGTCCTTCCACAGCTGCACTGCGCCCACCATGAGGAGAAAAAAATCCTGAGCTCACCTCATGGATGATGGGACTTGTGGACATTTGGATACTTTCTCTAGGTACTTCACGGAGTTGCAGTCCCTATGGCTCGTGCTCCTTTCTACCCCTCGTTCCTCCTGCGTCGACCAGATGGGGCAGGCTCTTTCTCCCCCACCACGCCATGTCGATAAAGTCTGTCGTTCCTGCCAGGGTTCACTTTTATCTCAGACAGCACGTGGGTCACTCTTGCTCTTGCCGTGCGCTGGAATTCAAAGGAAAGCTTCTTGGATCTTCTAGGTATTTGGCCAGGCCCTACTTGCCTCGAGAGTGAACAGTAGGTAGGAAGTACCCCAATACCTCAAGTCTACCTGAAGGTATCTTAGATAGGATTGAGTTGAGTATTTTGAACTAGTACATGATCTTCGGCAAGGTAGAGAGAGACTTGGACAACGGGCACGGAACACATAGGAAAACACAAGTTGGCCGATCCCTGCAACGGTCAACCCCTTGAGTACGGGCATTTGCTTGCATCTTTTTTTTTTTCCCAACGTTGCCAGAAAATGCGGTGGGACTCCACAAACGTCGCACAGAGGAAACCTTTCTTTCGTGCACACCGCAAGTGACAAGATTCCCTCCTAATTGCCAATCGTAACGAATACTGTCCTCTCGACAACTCTGGGTCTGTTGAATCCTTAGATCGGGGGCAAGGAGACGAGGATCAAACCCCGAGGGCTCAACCTGACGCCGCAAGGGGGTTTCCGCCCAGTATCCGCCCCCCTTTCGAAGGTGGACTTTATAATCGCAAGCCGTCAAGACGTCAAACCTCTCTCAGTCCTGACGGGGGAGTTGTCAAAAGGAGAATGCTAGGTCGCACAGGTTCCCAGACTTGTCGCCTTCGCGAGTCATCACCGTCGATTTGCGGCCGACTCAACGAAGTTTGCCGCTCTTCAGCTCGAGGTTCCCAGGTTCAAGGTATTACGTGCAGATCCGGTGACACCCGTCAGAGCGCATCCGTACCTCAATTCTTCAAAGTTGTTCTTCCGCAAGAAAAGAAGACATGAGCCGAACTTCTACCACGAAACAAGACAAAACAATCTTAATCAACATCCATGTGGCGGAAATCAACGGACGACAAGAGCTCAGATTGCTCGGGCGCGTCTTAGCCACGTTCTAGACTCGGACAGCAAGCACATTCCAGAGATTCCAGAAGGAAGCCAAAACGTCGACCACGAAAATCAGTGACATGAGATCAGAACAAGAACACAAACTTCGAAAACACCGGGCGCCATGGTCCGAGATGTCGCCTGCCGAACGTCCCATCTAGGTCATTTGCATTATTTGCGCACGCTGTCATAGCAACCTCGGAGAATTGGAGATGAAGGTCCTTGTTGTCTATGACGTTGGGTATAGCTGTTGTCTCGATAACATCCGTCGCGCCGTGCAGACTTCTCGCCGGTTCGTGATGATGTGCCTCTCCCTCCTTCTTGCAGTTGAACAGCCCGAAGCCACAAGTGGGCGTTCATCCCTCGGTCCGCCGCCTCCAGACACCGGGGCCCCCTCATGAGCCCGGCACGCCGCATGTTCACTCCCTAAGCCCTGTGTGACTGTCACCCATCCGCTCCAGGAAGTTGCAAGCAGCGAGGCCTCGCCCCTTTCGCTCCCGCTCCCGCTCCCGCTCCCTTCAAAGATCGCAAGTGGCGATCGACAAATGCGGTAGACACGGGCGGAAATGAACTGTGTGACGCAAATCTATAGGCCAGCATCCCTTGAGCCATAAAATTGTTACTGCGAGCTGGGTGTGTTCAGGCACCGTCCACCAAGGGCTCTCCCTTGAGCTTCGCTGTGACGACGTCGACGATGGCCCGGAACGCCTCCATCTCCTCCTCCACCGAGAGACTCATGGCCGCGCCGCCGAGATTGATGGAGCAGCCGACGTAAACGGGCATGTTGGCCCTCTTGGCTAGCAGCTTGGCCATCCTCGTCGTGAACTCCAGCGTTGACTCCACCGAGTAAATGGCCGTTGAGACGGGCTGAGCCGGCTCAAGTCTCTGTATGCGTGTGTCAGTAAACAAAAGGTCGTATTGATAAGTTTGTCAGTTTTGGTGGTATGTGGGATGGAAAATACGTTTGGCAATGCGTATACAAACGAGCCAAGTGCTGCCGGTCCCGACTGTTCGTCTTGCGTCACTGAGGTCAGGAAGAGGGTTGCCACCTTGGCCTTGGTGCTCAGGTGGATATGGATGCGGGTATCGAGGGAGCGGGGCAACGGAATGGAGAGCTGCGTGGCGATACTCATAGGAGCCATTTTGTAAGTTTCCAGTGAGGATCGTTCTAGCTGGGTGAGAATGTTGCTTGAAGTTGATCGAGTGAGGTTGGAGATGTAAACGCCATGGAGTGTGGAGTAGAGGGATTCGTGCCGAGATACGAATGCGCACTGTATTTGCACTGTGATCTCCAACACCACCATGTGAACCCTAAATAATTGGGATATTTACTTCGCGACACCATGTAGTGCTTGTCAGCGCAGAAAAACTTCACTTCTTACAGTCATATTGAAACGACCATCTCAGTGAGGATCGAACGAGAACTAGAAATGATAGTCATTGTGCACTGGGAACAGCTCTGCGATGGGCTGGAAGGTCGTTTGCGTTCTAGTCACGATATAATCAACTTGGCTTCGTCAAGCTGTCACATACGACCATACCCATTGGAAAACTCGGGATCCCGTCCGCTCTCCCATAGATAAGCCAATGAGGGCCGGCTCATCTAGAAGAGCGGGATCCCGGATGACTCAGCCCACAAAAACGGTGCCCGGCTGCGCCTCGCCCCTGGCGTCCCCGTACCGTCCTCCGTCCGTAAACTACTTCAATCCGCCCACCCGCCCCGACGAAATCGGCTGTCTCTCACGCCCCCGCCATCTTCCTCCCCCGGCCCTCTGGGCGTCGCCTCGCTGCCAATTCTTGCGTTGTCGCCCCTTCGTCATGTTCCATATCCTACGAG